TAAGGACGGCCCCTGAGCAGTGTCGGAAAAATTTGCAGGTGAAATTTTGTAATCCGGAGGAGAATGTAACAACTCAATCTCAAATACAAAATGTGGAAAATGATACCGATATTGAATTTGTTGCTGAGCTTAATAAGTTTGTCAGTTCCCTTTGCATAAAATATTTTAACCACATTATTGGGAAACGTGAAAAACAATATGTCACATACCTAAACAAGCTTATAACTTGTTTTGAAAGCGATGAACTTTTTAAAAATTTATCCGACTTTCTTAAAACGCAAATTAATTTACTTAATTTCTGTAATGAAATTTTACAAAATTGGTTATTGGAACGATCAAAAGAAACTGAACATATAATAGAACTAATATTCAATCTTATGAAGTACATGGATCATTATGAAAAAAACGAAATTTTAAAATCATTAATAGAGGTAAAAGATAAACATTGTTTTATGTGTTATTAAAAGGATATATATCACTGTACATTTTATTTCCTTTCAGTTTGATGATATTATAACTACAAAAAGTGTCATACAGTGTGCTTTATCTAAGAAACATAGAAATGATGTTATAGTACAGAAATGGTGTTCACAATCTAAGATTAATAGTATATTGATAGAAGTAGCAAAGGAAATTGCTTCAAGCAATTATTCAAGTAAAAATCAGAATCTTATATTGTTATGTTTTGAACCTCTAGAGGATGGTAGTAAGTTCTTGATATTTATTTAATTTGATTGCATTTTGTTAGTACAATACAGATAAATATTACATATACATATATTTTTTTAGGTTTGCTAATAAAAGAAGAAGCGGTCAATGAAATTATATCTATACTTTGCAATTCATTCTATGAAATAGATGAGATGTATCTGTTAGATTTCACCTATTTAATTTGCTGTATTGTTCCATTAGCATGCTCTCATAAGGGAACAACAGCAGGAGCAATACAAATATTAGAAACCCTTTTCGAATTGCGTTCACATAATTATTTTAGTAATAATTCTGACTACTATCTGATAAATACAATGCGAGATGTATGGACGAAAGAACTTTTGAAAACAGTTCGAGAACTTTCACGATCTGAATTTATTAATTTGACTAAAATGTTTGCGACTTCTATGTGGAAAAAGATATATAATCGGTAAGAAAATATATTCATTATTTATAAAGTATTTTAATCCACTTTTTATAATATTTTCATTATGTTCCAGAAATGAAGAATATGATAAAGAAATATTGGTTAACATAGCCGTTGATTTTCTTGAAACTATACTTGATAGTGGAATCTTCTATGCAGAAGAAATTATTTTAACATTTTTAACAGATTCTGATATCACAACATGGATAGCTGAAACAACTGGGATAATCATATATGGTGAAGTAATAACTGGTGAACTGCATGTGTCATCTCTTGATCAAAATATACAAATTCACCAGAAATGTATGTCTATTGATTTAACCAGTAATACAATAACGGATAATACTGAGAGTTGCTTAAAATGGGCATTGTTTAATATAAATTTATTAAATAATCTATGTTTGAGATCAATTAGCAAATGTAAAACGGAAGAATCCAGTACTGAAGAATTATTGATACACAATTTGAATTTACCAGGAGCTACAAATTTATTAATTACTGTTATATATTCGATTATTTTGGGCGAACTTTACTCCAAACATTACAAATCTGTAAGTATAGTCATAGCTTGTAATATAGGAACACTTAATTTCAATAAGAAAGGAATTAATATTTCACTGAACAATTATTTTCAGACCAAATGCTATAATAATGTAAATAAAACTTTAGTGACTGTACAAGATAGTTTTAAACAATTGCAGATATATATTAATGAAGATACATTTAATGAAATTCGTGATTATATAACAATGTATGTATTTTGAATAAGCCTTTTTAATAAGAGAATTATTTTATAAAATATTACTCACTTTGATCATATTTGCAGGAATTTTTCGAAATACGGAAGTATGTTACCATATATAATATACTTTTGTTGTACAGAATTATGTCCTACCAAAGAACCTAAAGAATTATTTGAATGTTACAAAAGTAGTGACATATTTTCTCTAAATGCAGAAATAATGCTTCAAAGGCTACAGGTATTGCACTATTAATTTTAAAATTAATTTTTAATTCCATAGAATAACAGAAAATTTTATCTTAGATTCTATCCAAATTTGAAAATTTGGATAATACCTTATATGCATGGAAGACAGACGATAATATTTCTGAATTAATACTGACAAGAACCATGTTGATTAAAGAAGGAGATATTTCGAAGTACTGTAGAATTGTGGAAAACAATCCTTCATTACCAGATGATAACATGTATTTTAACATGTGTTTTATATCATAAATATCAAACTTCTAAAAATCAAAAATATATAACGCTTTTATGTTTCTTTTACAGTGAAATTTCTGAAATTTCCTGGGATAAATTAAATATACCTTTGGAACTTATAAGATTGTCAACAGAACTCGTAAAGAAAATTCCATCCAAATTAAAATATAAACATTGGAATTTTATATTAATATCTATAATCCTATGGCCGCTTTCTGTTACTAATTCAGAACAAAATATTGATAATTTTAAGGTGCGCATCTAATTATCTATATTGTCTGAAAATAATGTATATTATAAATTTGGCTTATTTTTATTTATATTGGTATCTACAGGTATCTACAATGATAGTAGCCATTTGCCAACTTTATCACGCAGTGCAAGATTTAATTAACAAGCATGAACAGGAAAAGATAAAAGTCATGTCACCAAAGATATTAGATGAATGGAGAAATGCTCTCGTCAGTGATGCACAAAGTGGAATTGTTCACTGTTGGATGCTTTACGCAGGTATATTTATGATTTAAATTTTAAGTCATTGATTTTTTGTTTGCAATTTATAACTATATTTTGTGTTTCAGATTCGTATAATGAAAAAACAACAGCTTTGAAACCTGTCCTATTGTTGGATCACTTAGGAAAAGCTATAAAAATGGTGAATGGAAATGTAATTTTCAAAAGTTACATACCTCTCACAACAACTGTTGAGCTGGCATTGAAATTACTTCAGTCTCCCATAGCTAGTATACAATTAGGAGCATATCATATATTAAAGCACGCAGTACCAGTGCTTGTGCAACAAGACAAAGATACTGCTGAATTAGAAAATTTCAATGTAAATAGCCTGAACATTAAAAAAATGGAAAAAGTACTTCAGAATACGCAAAATATCGTAAATATCATTCTAATGGATTTCAAGTAAGTTTTCAGTTATTTCTTTATTCACAGAAAACAAACTTTTAATTTATGATATTTTCCTAGATTATGTGATACTGTGAGTTGTACTATTCAACCATACACAGATTCTTATACTTATACTGTCGGATATTTATTATCATGGGCTATCGTCCTAGAAATGTGTGCAAATGCTCATGGAGATTTACTATATCAATATGCAGAGATACTTAAGTAAATATGTTACTTATTTTCAATTGAAAATTCACTTTCAGGGATTTTATTAATTCTAATTAATATTAAGGTTTCAATACTTATATATATGTGTTTTAGGGATAATTTTTTTCCTAATTTATTAAATAACATATTTCGATTAATGCCAGTGGAAGTGCTTCAAGACAATAAGAACAAGGGTGCTAAATTAATGGAAATTTTTTCTACTGAACCATCTCTAGATTTTTTCGGTAATAATATTTAAATTGCCTTTTGCTTTTGTTACATATAACTTTTGTTTTAATATCTATTCATTTATATCTCATAGAAAGTTGGACAGAATGGAGACTTGACCATATCGTATGTTGGTTATACACGAATAGTTTAAGACATTTACCAGTGTTAGTGAGACAATGGTGGAGTACTGCTGACAGTAGAGTCAGTGCCGCCGTGGATAAGATTACAACTCACTATGTTAGTCCTATGCTTTGTCAAGAGGAACTTCTCAACAATAAATTACAAAGCATCGAAAACATGCAAGTGAAGGTACATCCAACATTCCGCGAAGTGGTAGCTTTGTATCAAATGGATGATACAAAACTGGAACTTAATATTGTATTGTCACCTAATCATCCATTGGGACCAGTTACTGTTGAACCTGGGCAACACGCGGGTGGTACAGTGAATTGGAGGAATTGTCACATGCAATTGTCCATATTTCTTACACATCAAGTAATAATTTATCAACATTAGTCAATTAAATTAATTAATTAATGTTTATAAGCATAAAACAATTAAGGAAATTTGTATTTTGTTTCCTTTTTATAGAATGGCTCCGTATGGGATGGACTCACATTATGGAAAAGAAACTTAGACAAGAAGTTTGCTGGTGTAGAAGAATGTTGCATATGTTTCAGTATTTTTCATATAAACACATATCAAATACCAAAATTATCGTGTCATACATGTCGCAAGAAATTTCATACTTCATGCCTGGTAAGTTTTTAGTATCCTTAATATTTAATAAAATTTCGTATGATTAATGCCGAAATATTCACTTTGCTTTTCAGTATAAATGGTTTAGTACAAGTCAGAAGCCCACATGTCCGATTTGTAGGAATATATTTTAATCTATTATATCATTTATAAAAAATAATTTGTATTTCTGTGTAAGTAAATAAATTAATGTATGTACATAATAAAATTTATGAAAGAGATCTATTGTCAATCAATTATATAACATTGTATAAATTTTCTGCCCAATGTAAATTATGTAGAAAACCAATAAGCTTAAATTTACAGCAAATGATTCAAAAAGTTAATTCCGATTAAATCAAGCTGCCTATACTTTTTAATGTGTTTTATTAATCAATTGAACGTCATTTAAAATTATAAAAATGTGTACATGAAATGTTTAATACTTCATCGAAAATTATTTAATATCGATAAGAAATTTCTACCTAAGATATGATTGATCAATCTATGGTATTTTCCGCAAAGAACTGTTTCATACGGTTTAAAGAGAATGCAAATAATATAGAATGTGATAAGATTACAACTGCTTTTAATCAGGTGTAGGTAACAGATAAGCATCACTCTTTTGGAAAATTCAGTAGTATCAGGTTCAGAGATGCCAGGTAAGCTGTACTATAACTTTATACAAATCATGTCATTATATCAACTTGTTTCATTAATAGACAATAATTGTATCTCGATACAGAGTATTTCATGTTTATCCCGCCAAATGTTGTCAGTATATTGTATAATTAAACATAAGAAGAAGATGTTATATAAACATGGGTTTGTAAATAATTTATTACGAAATTATAACAAAAATACTAAAATTACTAGTGAACGGATTCGCACTCGATCTATTAGTTATGTTTACCGAAGTTCTTGTTTAAATGGTCGTCAGCTCTTGTAAATACAAATAGCAAAGCACTTACTAGCCCATGTTTACATAAAATTTTTTTCTTGTTTTTAACTATAGAATATGCTGACACCGTTTGGCAGGATAAAAATAAAATATCTTGTATATCTTCAACAGCATATTCTCTATTTGGGAAATTAAAAATTTAAACTCTTCTACTAATCCTATACTTATCGCCAATAAATTAAAAGATATCCAAATTTTAATTCTACATTCATTGTTTACATGTAACAAAAATATTCACTCAGAAATTCTGAATATTAAATAACGAAGAACAAAATAATTCCATTATAAATGCCGATATTTATCTTTTCTTTTTTTCATATTCAGATTTTTATTTTCATTTATACGTATGGGCGCCAGACACCTTTTATTTGTTCTTCTCTTATCACTTGGGAAATTGAATTCTAGGAAAGTCTTATCGAGAAATGACGATTGCTTGCAATATCGTATATGAATCATATTACGGTTACAGTCATACTATTTATATGCCCCTATCTATTTTATAATATAGCTTTTAACGTTAAACTTACCTACACTATATTTAGGTACTTAAGAAAAAGATAACTTATAGCTACGATAAGTAAATATCAGTTTTTTATTACGCAACCGATGCAAGTCAGAAGAAAATATAATTATAGATATGAATATAAATTTGATAAAGAAAAATTATTGGTAAATTAAAAAAATTTCTTTTATCAAAGCTTATAGGTGGGTTAATCGAAGCGCAGGGCAAAATTTGCCGGAAACCGCGGTCACCGGAGGTCGTGACATAGATGGGTCAACCATCTACGTCGGCAGAGCTTTCCACGACGGTGACATGATTCCAGCGAAAGTAATCCCCGATAAAAATATCGCCTATGTCTGTCACAATGGAGAAGAACACCAGAAACATGATTTCGAAGTAAGTCAAACGCAAAACGCTACGCATCATTACATTCAAATCGTTCAGTCTTTTATAGACGACCATTCATTAATCACTAATAATTTAGAAGACCGAAAACTAAAATTAATTCCGGAAAATAAATTTATCTCGAGTGATCATCTTTAGAAAACATTAACAAAATGAGTTGAAGTTAACAAGGGAACTTGCTATAGTCTCCAAACTTTTCAATGCAATTAAAAACATTCTTGATATTGTAAAATAATCCTTTATATGAAATTCAATTGAGAAATATATTAATATGGCGTATTAACAATTATTTCTTTTACATTCTCCTCTATCTTCCGTTATCTTCAACTATCTTAACTTTTTATTCCGAGAGTCAGCGATTGGAGGAAATTAAAAACAGCGGGAAACTGAAATTCGGTCGAGTGATTTTAATAAATAATACATTTTTCCAATGACGAACCTAATCATCCGGTGTAACCATATAATCAACCTCTTTACACACACAAACACGGAATCGAGATTTTGTGTCAAGGCGAAGTCGTTTTGCGGCACGGGATTGGAATACGGTTTATACGATCTGCATCATCCTTTAGCTAGTTTGTGCGATTACGAATTACGCGGTTGCCTTGGATTTTGAAAAGCTAAAACTAACAATTCGTTACTTGCATTTCTCATGTAATCATCTTTCTTTCATTTAAATGGCTTACTACCTTACGTTTCCACTCGTCTGTCCGCGCAAGGCAAAACATCTCATGAATCATAACAGATCATTCAAACTCTTCATCAAATATTTTGCATTCCAGATAAGAAGTTATTTTGAATAATCGCCTAAGGAGCCTATTATCATCCAATCCATGGAGAAATATAAAATACTGTCAAAGTATTCAGATAATCGAGTCGCACAAAAATCAAACTGTAACTCCATCGAAGTTAATCGTTCGATTACTGAAAAATTACATTATTATGTACATTAATTATGTATATTCTGATATTTTATAACTGAGAAACTTTCGGAAAATAGAATTGATCAGCTGAACCTTTACACCACTCAATTATTGTGTTTCCAATGTGATATTTAAATTTAACAATTGTATTTAGTGACTTATGAAAAAAGATTGCTCAGATAAGATTTTAATAAAATTAATTACCGATTTATTTTTATTTTCTGTAGGTTTTGTGCAAAGGAGAATTCGAATGGGAGTTCTCCTCCAACGGAGCAATCCCAGGCGACGCGGTGATCGCAGGACAGACCTCCGATGGAGAACCTCTGTATGTTGGCCGTGTTCTCCATAATGGATCCCAAACAGTTGGCAAGGTCGGAGTTTACTGTTCCTATAACCGTACAGAAAATTTATATTCCTAATGTAACATTGATCTTAATTAAGATTGATCAGTGTCACATAGAAAAGAAAAAGTACAAGAAAAAACATGACGCTAGATCTAATAGAGGAAAATACCTTGAATTTGAAAGGACGTTTAAAAATGAGACTATTAATGAAAATATTGTTTCCTACAGGTTCAACCTAGCCATGGATGCTTATACATCCCCTTCGACGGCGAGGAATTGTCTTTCAAAGACTACGAAGTGCTCGTAATTCATTGAGTATAATAAAACTAAGGTTGTCAGTTCTTATTAATGGGAATAGCATTCTTTATATGATATGCCACATAATATGCCATTTTTTATTGAAATTGTACACATTAATCATCTCTCAAAATAAATAAATTATTACCTGTTCTCTTTCACAATCTTTGATTTGCTGTAAAATCTCTCTTATCCAAACCACACGAATTTGAAAATAATGTAAAATTGAAATGTAGTCGATAAGATAAGAATGGTGATACTAATTATTTGTTAAATATCGTATCTAAGTGCGAAATAATTCATTCTGACTTATCGAAAGATATTAATCATCTTTAGGAATGAATTTAGGAAATATAGCTCTTTTGGCGTTGTTAATGGAACGATTTTATGCGTTCAAGAATATTTGGTTGCAATGATGAATAATAATATTAACACAGACTATGTATAGATATATTTCAGTCAATTTTTGTATAAATTTTAATGATATATTTAAACTTTTGATTTAAAAGTTACATATCACCAAAAAATTAAGTAAAGAATTGTATACTTTTACAAATTTACACAGAATTTTGCAAGAAAGGCTAATCTACGTTAAACAACCGACGGTCTTATTAACCGACTTAAACGTGCAGGATGAAAGGAAAGAACGAGATGACCGGATTCCAGTTGGTCGCTCGATCATCGAGCCGGTCTGTTCCGAGATGAAGCGCGCGATGTCAGCGGACGTGCCGGAGAAACACGAAAACAACGGGTCTGTTACGACTCTGAATCGAATATTTTATAGCATTGCTTGAATTACGAGCATTACTCACTTGACGGCGTTATGACTATCGACTTAAGAGCCAGGGCCGTAACTTACACCTTTAATCCTGCCACGAGCCATTTTTACGTTTTTCAACCCTACAATTCCTATAAAACATCCCTTGAATATCTTATTTTAACTCTTTCGACCTAAACTTTTCTATTTTCCTTCCTTGCAGAAATTGATAATAATTAGACTGATAGTTTCAAAATTCGGACATGTAAGACTCGATAGCTTGAATAGGTTTATAGACATTGACTAGATCACGCTGAAATAAAAGAAAATCTTTTGTTAAACTACCATTGTCTCTCCAAACAAATTTCTAAAGTAATTTAGCAATTCATAAAGGAATCTCCAATTGTAGGTAGAAATAAAAACTTAGTGAGACAAATGAACGATAGGATGAATAAAAATATTGTGAATATATTAGAACATTAGAACTACCGGACTGCATTATAACGTATATTGGATTAATTAAAAGTAAAGAGATCAGAAACACTCATTGGATATATATGCTCCATTAGGAAAGGATTAGATCATAGCGAATACTAAATCATTGTGTTGATAGTGAAACTCGATGAATATCTATGAAGCTGAGTGGAAAATGTTACAATTGCATTTTTTGTCCAGAAAACTAGATAAATTTCCAGATTTTTATGAGCACATATAGTAATGTATTTTAATATTTAGAAGCATAGACGTGTCTCTATTAGAATTCATGTATATCCAGTTTTCTTCCCAAAAGAGATATCGTCACTTATATTTGTGAGCTACTTATTCATTAGCGAATGGAGATATCACGGCAATGACCAAATTTCAACGAAAGCTCGATGGTCTAGAAAAATCTTGAGGCCATCGGGCAACGCGGGAACGAAGGAACGTAATTGCCAATTCGTCGCAATTGGTCGCCCAACAAAACGTGATTACGGGACCAGAAAGGTCCGGCGCGCATATCGTCGTCGTTGAGTATATACCTACTTAATACAATCTTTGATTTATCGTTCTATATGGTTTCAGAAGGGTTAGGACACGGCCCTGCCTGAAATAGGATCTAGTCGTAGAAGACAAGACGGGCAGATATGATTATTTTATCAACAAATTGCTACATTTAAACGGCTCTTCGGTACTGCCCTATCGAGAGAAGTCGCACTCGCTATGTTTACGCGTATCTTCGACCACGATCAGAATAACAGGGTGCCTTTACATCCTTTCTAGCAGTTAGTAGGATAAATAGACGAAAAGCGATGAGTTGCTTTGGATTTTTATGAAACAGAGGAACCGTTGATTCGTTGAATCGTTCATCGTTGATAAAATTAACTCTTTCAAGATTGAATTCTTTTTTAATCTGTGGAAAAATTATTTTTTATTAATTATTGATAAGAGAAACACATCTTGGCGGATGGTTTTTTTAAAGAAGACCAATAATACATCAAAATTTGAGGTCAGTTTTATCGAAAATAAATATAATACATTTATCGTTTAGTTAATTAGTAATTTTTTAATTGTTGCGTCATCATTCGATATTTGTCAGGAGATTTACGAAGGATTGCCTGCCTAAGGCAATATCAAGACAAGGTATGAATTTTGTGGAAGGATTTCTTACAACATACCGATTCTAAAAACGCTACTACATCAGGACTGGTTGTCCTCATACTTCTAACACATCGACATAATCTTAATAAAGATGAAAAAAGAACGTGATATTCGACGAGACAAACAAGAGTTTCGCGCTTGACCCACATTCATCTGACTCTAGTGAAACGTTCGGGACATATGAAAACAAACAGAAACAAATCGATGAATTAAAAACCTTACCTCTATACATAAATTACAATTCGTGCTAACGTAAGATATAAAAAAGAAAATGAAATCTCTATAAAATTTTGAAGAATCAAATCTCATATCTATAGACAAATTACAATTCCCGTTAATACATTACAGTATGATTACACGATGATTTCTTAAATTTTTCTGACGAAACAAAGTCTAAATTAGAAATTTCCTAAACCCTATAAAATCTCAGTAGAATTTGTATTTTCTTAGCTAATTAAAATATTGTCTGTAATTTCAACAGAAATTTCTGTTGCCTACAATCTCTTATAAAATCTCAAAAACCCTCCGTTGCAATTGTAAAATTGAAAGGAACCCTCGTGCATCGACTCTAAAAGTTAACCTTGACCCGAAAAGCGTCCAAGAGCGGAACCGGAAGCGTGGACGTTAGCGCGTGGTTGTCGATCGTCGCAGAAACGATTCGCACCGACGACGTTTCATCGTGTTACGAGTGTTATATTCAGCTAGGTGGATGTACCCTCGGATGTACTCTCCCCGCACGTGGAGTAGGATCGTCGAAGAGTTTCAGAGGGGACAATATGGAGGGAACACGAGGTGGTGGAGGAACAGCACGGAGCAGGAGGTGGCCGAGAGGAAGAAGAAGGGAAAAGAGGTAACATGCGTATCGTAATGCACAATGGTGCATTAGCCAGGAGTAGACAGTTAGACGGTCTCTCCCGCGGACCGGTTGAAATCCAACCAACCGGTATATCAACGAATAAATACAATTTCGAAGAATACGTACACCTAAAATCGGTCCAGAGGTAATTAGTCAACGAAGAAGTATCGAAAAAGGAAGAATCGTTCAATTGAACTAATTATCAGACGATGTGAATAATTGAGAAAATCTACCATATTAAAATCCGTGGAGAACGGTTGAATATTTGGTACCAGTCAAGACTGTATCTTCGCATCCATCCGCATGATTTTAATTATCTTCGAAAATTCTTGGAAGTTTCACTCAACACCAAGGATCTGCATTGGAAAACAGTTATCAAAAATTTGGAGCAAAGCGAGTTATATGACGCAGACTCTACAAGGAACGTAGCACACCACGAAGAATACTTCAGTACCATTGACATAGCTCAGTCTGCCCTTATTTATTAAGGAAATGGCTGACACGAATAATTCATCGACGATGGAGAAGAAACGTGGTGACACCACTGGAAACCAGGTAGTATCTGACAAAGCATTGGTCTGGAAGTCCATGACATTGCGCCAGAAATGGTCTTACTTCACCAGTAATATCACCGTGGAGCCTATGATCGCCTGCTACGTGATACCCTGTATGCTAGCTTCTCTAGCCACGCAGAATCTCAGCTTGGAAAAAGCGTGTAGAGTGAATCTGGCTTATCCTGACGAAGTCTGCACAGCATTAGCTAGAAGGAACACGACTGGTTATGAGATGGAAGAAACTGCTGTTCAACAACTGGTTGCTGGCATGCAGACATGGAAAACAGCTTTGTCTAGCGGTTTACCTACCATCTTGATCCTCTTCATGGGTGCCTGGAGCGATCGTACAGGATTGAGGAAGCCGTGTATGCTTCTACCTATCATTGGTGAATTTTTAAGCAGCGTTAGTATGTTGTTGTGCACCTACTTCTTTCACGAGGTTCCTATGGAAGCCACAGGTATCTTCGAAGCACTTTGGCCAGCGTTAACGGGAGGCTGGTTCACCATGTTCATGGGTGTTTTCAGTTATATCGCGGATATCACGTCGGTAGAGTCCAGGACGCTTCGAATTGGTGCTGCAAATGTTTTCTTGTCGCTTGGTGTACCGATCGGAATGGCGTTGTCCGGAATACTGTATCTGAAAATTGGATTTTATGGTGTATTCGGTATTTCGACCGTGTGTTACGTGTTGAGCTTCATTTATGGGTTAGTGGTGATTAAGGAGCCACCTAAACCCCATTTGTTGCAAAAGGCGGAAAAAACGGAGACGAAGAAGATGACCGTGTGCGCATCGATCTTGGACTTCTTCGCGTTTAAGCATATTGAAGAGACTTTTCGTGTTGCTTTTAAACAGGGTAGAAATAATCGGCAGAAAAGGGTGTTGGTGCTTATGGTCATCGTTATGGTTGTGATTGGTCCACTTTACGGTAAGATTTTTATTTATTTTCTTCTTACTATTAATAGATCGTGAGAGTAGAACTAAAATAGGAATTTGTACCTATTTTAAATTCTTATGGGTACTTGGCACTTTACTTTGGGTATTTCCAAAGTATAATTGGATACTTTCGCATTTTGTGTGAATGCATGAAATGCATGAAATCTATAAATCTAATTATTAGACTTTTACTTTTGCGGAAGTAAAATTTCTTCCTTAAATCTGCACGATAAGAATTTCTACTTTGATGAAAGTATTAGACGTTTGACGTAACAATTATTTGTTCGATGTAATAGGAAGGTTGCTAGTTCGTATCGTAAGTTTGGCAAGGGATGAAAGCCAGAAATTTTGAAATCTATAAGAATTTCTTAACTCGAAAGTTACACAAAAATTTGATCGAATTGATCCAGAACGGAGCGGAGCGTAAACTAGTTTAGCTAGTTTTGTAAATTTCATTAACAGAAACATATTCCAACCCTTGCATCTGATACGTTCGTAATTACACTTTCCTTTCTCTCTTGTGGTCTGTGGCCTGTGTGTATATGTAGCGATCACTCTGTTATGTATCTGAGTCTACTCTACGTTTACCCTTTGCACCATAATAATCAGAGGTAGATCGTTCTTATCTAATACAATTATATGTTGAATCGAAAAGTCTCGTTTTAATCAGCTCCTGAAAATCTCCAAATAACGTTGTAAATATTTTAATCTAATGCGTAAGTCTCCTTGAGTCTATTGTATTTTTTGATCGAATGATTATCGAGAGAAAGACATTGAAATAAACCACTGAGAATTTTCCTACAAATCAAAATTAAATTTACAAAGATTCACGATCCGGATATTAGTTACTACTACAATATTTACAATTTTACTCGAAGATTGTTTACAAACCTGATAAATTCGCGCGTCATCAAATACTTGTCCTTCGCTAAACGTCTCTTTCCAGCAACTTTCACGATTTCCATATCGAAGAAGTTTCACACGTCCAATCAAACATTCAGAGATCTCCTGTTCATCAGCTCTTGTATCGAAGCCTGTATCGGACGAGTGAAAGTAGGAAAAGTTTCGCATAACTCTCGTTAATCTCGCTAGTATTATTGCGGTAACCAACAGAAGTTTCCAAAGGTAATTGCAACATTTAGGCCACTAGAAAGAGCGGAAACTGCTAGGTACGGTATAAAAATGATAAAATCGGGGTTTTCGAGATAGAACGAGATAGAGATAGATGTAATGAGCTGTAATTATCGACAGCAAGTAGATGGATGTAGTCCGTGCTATGTGTTTCCAATAGTTTCTACATATATTCCATACGATGAGCGGAGATACGCACGTAACATGAAAATTGCGATAGATCGCGCAGGGGCGCTAGTGAAAGTGTGATTAATTGTCCTGTTCTTTGACGATCCTAACAAATGTCCTTGTAACGTCGTAATTATTGTTTTTTTATAGGATGTTCATTCGACTTTTACTCTTCGACAGATCTTTCGATAAGGAAATTCTTCTGTGAATTCTTCTTATTCCGTAAAAATGACCATCTTCGTCTTTCTGCTGCTTTTAAATAAGAATATCTAAATAAGCATACGCGTATCTAGTTCTCAATTGCAATCTTGTAATATCTATGTTAAATTTATTTCTATATATCGTCCATGTATATATATTTCCCCATTGAACTTATCTTTTCCCCGTATTTTAAATACAAATATCTCGAACGAACGTTAATACACATCTTTGCCGTATCTGGACGATAATTATCTCATTAATCCAATAAAAATGTAGCTTAATTTAACCAATATTAAATTTACCGTGATTATCTCTTTTATCAATTACTTTTTTGATCGGAACAATGAGTGAACTTAGTGTCCCCATTTTCTCCGAATGGTTACGATGCTAATCTCGAACGACAATACGGTTCCATCCGTCAATTACGGATTATTAGCGCATCACGAATTCGTATTGCAACAGGGAATTCAAGGCGAGCGTCCTTGTCATAATTTAATTAGACCGCTAATACGCCGGACATTATAATGTTTCGTTGCGTCTTTATTCGTCTTGCTAAGAGCACTGGGTAATCATGCTGCTTATAACAATTTCGTGTAATGGTCTTCTTCCTGATTTTGAAAGGCCAACAATTAGACGTCCGTGCATATTCCTATGGTTTCTGTTTGTCTTCCGTGCGATATTGTCCTCAGTTTGACATTACAAAAGGAAGATTAACAAATTTATGTTTCTAAAATGACAAAAAAGAATAGCAGATAAAGATTTTATCGATAGGAAATCTTGTTCAGTTGTCGAGAGAACTTGGTCGAATTTCGAATTTGTGTCTTGATGTGTCTCACATGTTTGAAATATAATAAACTAGCCTGCAAAGTTTAGAAGTACAATATTTATTCTTACATCGCAGATTTTTATACGAATTTATATTTTTGTGAAAACGATTAAAGAGAGGGAACTTAAGCAGAGATTTACGTATCTATACGCATTTTTAGATTTTACGTAAATTCGTAAAAATCCGCGATCCGTCTATTATATATTACTTCAACTTATGGAAATGTAATAAACAATGATTCTCGCTCTAGAAATACAAGATTAAAGAATTGGTACGACAAGTGATCTATCGACACGTCAATTACAGAAGGTACATTAATATCAATTATCCGAAACATTGTATAATTGGACCGTGCAATTGACGTACGCTAATTCATTAATCATCACTGTTTAATTCGATCGAGTTCAAGTGTACTACCTTTCGACATTGGTTCGCACATGAACGCGTTATCGATCAAAGAAAACCATCAACAAACCTTCTTCACGGTATTAATTGCAATTACCTATCGACAGGAACGGCTACCGAAGGACGAGAGAATGGAAACGATAACCGATACTTAGATATTTTTGTAATTTGTTGCTGTAACACAAATCCACGTTTGTTTCAAAGAAATCCCTACTGAAATTACACGACGTTCTAATACCTCTCTATAAGTATATTTCATCGTCTTTTAAGAAATTTTTTATAAACTAACGAAACGTTTGAATCTTTCATTAAAAATACCGAAGAAATCAATTATTTTAATTAACGTATTAAAATCTCCACAGCACTAAGAAATATTACACTTATAAAGAAGAAGAGAGGGGAATCTATTTCTTCAATTTTTACAACGAAACATTTAAATATTTAATTAACGCGTGAAAATGAAACGGAGAAATAAAGAGGAGGAGGGAAGAAAATAGAAGGAAGATACGAGACCGTAGATATAAAAAGCGAGACAATAAAGACAGTGGCCTGAAATTTATGACCGGTAGTGCGTCTGCGAAGTCAACATACCTATTAGAACTAGATTCTATACGCACGTATGCTAATGCGGTCTGATGGCCTAAGTAGCTTGATGTAATTTCAGATCTTTGACCGTCGGAAATCGGTCTAATCTTGATGGTTTGAAGGGTTATAGTAACTTCTATGATATAACGAGATAGGAAAATCGGTCATGTGTCAAAGTATATATATTATAAAGAGAAGAAGAAAATTGATAGAAATCTTGGGAGTCTTCTTGATAGAAAAATCTAGTTTTTTATTATATAAATTTTCTTTCCCATATCTCTTTGCGATATATTTTCTTTTCAACAATACATTTCTTTTCTTTTTTTTTATGTCTTGCGTTGTTTTGTCTATCATATCCTCTATCTTCTAAGGTTATCGCCTTATTACCCTTTTTTATTGCTAAAATTTCTTTTCACCTCCTTATTTAATCACTATTGATCGTAATTTCTTGATTCATTAAGGAATAAATGAATTAAATTAGAAACGAAATATAGTACGAAGCAATCTTAGCTCTCTGATCTTCATTATATCGAAACACAAAGTAAATTCCTACATACATTTCCCTTTTAAATTTCAATGCAACATCGATCGATGTCTTCACTTTACGTTTTGATTTATAACTTCCATATCCTAGGCGCTACTATACTACACTATACTGTCGTACAACGAGATTCATATCTTGGATCGTTTCACATTTGATTTATCTCAGTTAGATCGAAAGATGAGAGATAAAGTTCGGACGAGTTAATTGAAAACTATATTTTGTTTAGATTCTCTGCTATCAAAGTTTTTGATTTTGTAATAACATTTAATAAGGAGATCGACAAGGTCGTGCAAGAATTTAGAATCAATCATTTCTTGACACTCTTCAATTATACGGTAACTGGCATTTTCTCTTTGGCCACAGAACATTTTTCATAATTATTTTAGCGTTAGAACTTGGATTTAATTTCTTTGCCGTTTATGATAATTTCCGAGCAATTTTCAACATTCCTTACGGTCTTCAAATGTGATCCTCGAATTAAATGAAATTACACAAGTCGGTACACAAATCGCGCTGTAGTCTGCATGCAAATTAGATCGACGACAATAAGATAATTGACGAGTTTCGTGGAAAGGAACGTGACCAATTTTGCACCAACTTCTTTTCGTCGACTTTTTCTTTTTCGTGCCAATTATTTCTAAATCGTATTGAGAAATTAGTGTTGCAATTTTTAGAGGTAACGGAATTCTTCTCTGTACAGGAAATGTTCATTCCTGGTATTTATATTCTTCATCATTTCGCTCGATTAATTTTTTCAAAAACCAGATAGACATGCCGATCTTCTCCCCTTTCTTCTTTTTCTAGTTCAGTTAAAATTTTTGTTTCAAGCGACGAAGAATTATATTTAACAAAACTGTTTCAATGAGAAATTACCAGCATGACGAGCTGTTGAAAACCCAACATTATTGTTTTAATCGCTTATGCTATGATTAAAACAATTACACCGAACTCATATCTAAGTCTAATTATACTGTGCGAAATGAATTTCCAAAGGATGAAGAATTCAAGAAAAACCAGCGTTTATCCAGTAACATAAAATTTGAGAGATGAATCGATCGATAAAGACACAATCGTGGAATTGTCTCTGACATTCTGAAGGAATGTTCGTGAGAAAAGCAAAGCAATGATGTGATAATAGCCTAAACTCGACGGAAACGATTAACTCGACAGCCTGATGAACGAACTTGTTGTGTAACGCCGTGTATATCCTTATGTAATACAGCTTAATAACGCGTCGAAATCATTCGGAATAACTTTTGATTGTGTTTATAGCTTCTCAAGCCACCCGAAGGTTCAACTACTATTAAGTTATTTCAGTTACCTCTGTGAAAGATCAACGATCCGAAACAGTAAATGATGTAAATTCCAGGAATGGAGATTTTCAGAATCAAAGGAAATTAAAATAAGAAGTGAAATAAATAGATTGTTGCAGCTAAAAATTCGAAGAAATTATTCCAACATTTGCAGGCTGGAATTTATTTACCTACTTTTCTACTTAAAAAACATAACTCTTTTTCTTCCAATACTCGTATCGTCCATCGCATAAAATTCTGCAATTTTTATCGATCATTAATCGTTCGTAATTTCGTTTTTAAACGCTTCCTGTCGATAGAGATTTGCATGCATTCATATACAATGGTATTATGAGTAAAGGAAGTCCGGAGAATAAATAAGTAGATAGGAAAAAGTAAATTTCGTAATGGCCATTGAAGATGGAAAGGATAAAGTCAGCATTTTTAAGTGCTTCCTCCAGCAGGCGATATTTTTCAAAATGTCAGAGACAATTGACGAAACACGCGTAATTATGTTTTCAGTTCTTCGCTCAATCATGGTATGATGTTGAAGATTTCATTATTATTGTCGACGTGATCTGACTGAATTTTACATGTATCGGGTTGACAACTAAATGATCGCGGATTTTGTCATTAGGTGGTAATGCCTTAGTTGCTAATCCAATATTATGTCAGAGTATCACAACTCTGACTCATGACTCTTTTTTGAGTCATGACCCCTATTTATTCATAATATCCGAATAAAACGACAGCTAATATCCTATCCGACATAAAATCGTAGGATCGTAGAAATTATTCAGGTAACAAAGACCAACAACCCAACAACTCGTCAACTTATCGATTCATTAATGTTATCTAAGTTAGTAAGTTATAACTCTAGGCAAGTTAAATATATAATTGCGTTGATATGCAAAAGTGTTGGATGAGGAAGATTTCTCGCATCTTGTTCCAGAATTGATATCAAACAGAATTCCAAGTAATGTTCAGTTTAAGAACATAATAAGTGAAAGAAGATAATACAACGAATAGACGCCGTTATACAAGTTACAGGATGTTAGATAAAATTTGGTAAAATATCATTTTCTAGAGTATAAAGTGAGAAATCTATCTGATTGGAAACCTTTGCACGCTATTGTATACGTATCGCAATATTCTATCGAAGAAGAGACGCCAATGGTGGTTGATCCTTTCGTGGATCAATTCTCGAAGGCAATAATTTATTCAACTGTAAAAAGTGACAGGTATAACGGGCATAACTTTTTGCTTGTTCCAACGCCTAACCTTAAGCGGCCTTCCGCATGTCATTTTCAACTTCGAGGCCCATTACGTACAGTGGAACGATGAAGCAACATTGCAGAGATAGCGGCGAACGCGAGCTGCCAATTCTGAAAAACGTTTTGACCATGATCTTTCATGCTGTGCAAGCGGAATCGTTCCACCTACATTGAATTTAGAACATTGTAACCCGTGGTTCGCGAAGTTACAACACGTACGGGATGATTGTAGTTTAGAGTAAATTAAATTATCGTTCTTGTTATTCAGAATTCAAACTTATTTAACCCTTTCGCACGCTCGTATACAGAATATATTGTACCTTCGTAAATTCTTAATTAAATAAACGATAAACGTATTTGTTTTAGCTAAAATAGGTTTCAAATTTCAATACATCATGTCTTCTTTATAGAACCGTTCGAAAATATGCCTTCCTATTATTAATAATTAAGTATTAACATTAATCTTACCAGACTCGGTCAAATGATCGGCTTCAAAATTTAATTTAAAATTGTACATTCGTTGTTATTGCTTTTGTTCATCAAACTTTATGTAAATTCTTATATTATATTATCTGATTAATCAATTTCCCAATTATCGTTAATATAACAATTTACATGAAGTTAGAAGAATAAAAGGAATAACAATGAATGTAAAATTTTAAATTAAATTTTGAAACCGATCATTTCACTGAGTTTGGTGAAGTTAATAATGAATACTAATAATTCATAGGCTAAGAAAAATTTTATCTTAAACTTTGCAGGGTCAACCCTGCAATAGTGTTCTTTTATTGTTAACAAAATTCCTTGTTGTTCTCCTTAAAATCTAACAGATTCAAACAAAATTAAAGAAAGAATAAAACTGAGATATAACAATAAGATCGCGGTAGAGCTATGGACACTATTATTCAATTTATTCTATTCTTTTAGATTTTTAATTCGCTAAGAGGTACGAAATAAGTGAAAATCGAAGATCTAAAACGGATAATTGTTGTTATAGGTGAAATGGCAGTGATGTATCTTTACATGAGATACAGGTACCACTGGAACGAAGTTATGTTCAGCATGTTCACCACGTTCGCCATGGTGACGAATTTAATCGGTGAGTAAATATTCGAGAATCGCCGTAACTCATGATGATTCATCGATAGTATATCAATACATTATCGCGTATTTATGAGGAAACTTGATAACTGTCCATGTCAATTATCAATTACTCTAAGTAAAGGAGAATTTTTTGTTCGCTAGAGTTGATAATAATTGATAAAGAGATTAATATCTGAGAATCGAATATATTAAGGTCGAATATGAAGACAATGTAAGGAAGATAACAATTCCTCCGACAATTTCCAGAATAACATTTAATACCCTATTATTATCGTAGTTACACGTGATTATTAATGAAAGAAGCAAAAAATGCCATTTAAGATTGGAGGAAACACGTGAATGAATAAAACTCGAGGAACTAACGATCGTCTGGAATACCTTACACGCTCGAAGCTGCATTTTAATAAAATACAATCCCACGCAGAAAACATGTTGTTACGAGTGTAATCATATTTCTTGCAAAAATAGAATCTTTTTCGGCGATAACTGCCTCTCAAATAGAAGTATCTTTCGCGATAAAAAATTGTTTCTAAGGACACATATCCCTAAAAGATATCTTTTAGTAGAAAATTTTTCCAATAAGATCGATTTTACAAGGAAATACTCTTCTAATGTAATCTTTACTGTCTTGATTTTTCTTTCCTCTATTTAAATAATTTTAATAATTTTAATAATTTTAATAATTTTGGTAGATTAAAATTCGTTCACTATTCAATTATGGTACTTTTATACTTTTTTACTGCACTTTTTCTAAACGTTTTCTCCCTCTTTCTTTCTTTTTTTTTTAAGACCTTGACGAATTCACGTGAAACTCGTACGTCACTCTTTTTGGCCTATTCTATCCATGAAAGCAACGGAAATCGATTATATAATAGGTTGCACTGTTACGAAACGAAATCGTTGGCCATCGTTTTCAAGTAAATCACAGAAACCTCGAAACCCATAGCTATGAGGCTGAAACGTGAATTAATGAACGGAGTTGCCTTTTGTATTTTACTGCCTTTTTATATTAAATTTATAATTATTTAAAAATAAAAAGAAACTAGTTTTACATATTTTTGTAGTCATTTGCTTTTTTCATAACTGAACAGCTATCGTACGATCATTAAACCTTGCAATATTCTCATTGACAGAAACCGAAAGATGCAAAAATTGTACTTGTGTCAAGTAAAATTGTTATCAATCAACTAAGCATTCTCAATCATTCTGCTAGAGGCTTGAATGATGGTGAAAGGAGTGATTTTAACTTCTTCACAGTACTTATCATGTTAATCACTTTTCAAGAGTGAAATTATTTTTATTTATAGGAACCGCGGTATCTGTCGGTGTGTTCAGTCACATTTTAAAAATAGACGATGCTATAGTCGGGATTATGAGCTCCATGAGCAAGATCTTGGCTGGTTTCGTCTATGCATTTGCAATCACGGACTGGATGATTTATTTAGGTAAATGTTCACATAAATGTTAAATCAAATGAACATCTCGAACATTAACGCATTATCAGTAGCATGAAGTATATTTTATTAAACTCTTTTGAAAATGCATATTTCTAAGATAAGAATCTGTGAAAATTATTAACGTGAAAATTGAATACAAATGGAATAATATTAAAGAGTAACATTTCTCTCTTTGAAACGGTGCGAAAATATTATTATACGAAAAAAATTATAAATATACATAATACATACATAAAAAAATATTACTATACGAACTTAATAGTACTATTTTTCGTTTGAGGCTTTGTTTTCGAGAAAATCGACTTTGAATTTTTGCTCGGTATCTCACTGTAGACCGTTGTCTCGATGGAAAAATTAAAAAAAAAAAGAAACATTTTTATTCTATATTTTCGACTTCTTCTTTCGCGTAGAATCACCCCCTTTCCGCTTGTACCACCAGTTACCAACCACCCTGTATATCTGTATATATAGTATAATAATATATAAGTAATATTAATAATAGTATATAACAATATTATTCTACCGATCTTTTTTGCAATACTTTACTTTCAATGAATTATAATTTTTCAAATGCTGTAAATTCATTATAAATTCTACAGTGGAAGATGGCACGTTTACCTACACAAATTGATAATGCGTTAAGTTCCAAGAAAGGGAATCAATAAGGTAAAATATCTTTTTCGTACATCCTTGTTTCAGCGGCTATCGTCGAGATCGTGAATGGTACATCTTTCATAGCGATGCGATCGATAGCATCTAAACTCGTATCTACAAGTGAACTCGGTAAGTGAATACAGATTTATTACCTTGGCATAGCAGACTGACATTGAAACAAATGCGTTTTTTTTTGTAAGATCGGAAAAACATGTAGCAGGTACCGTTACGTGAACGTTATGATACAAGTGTTAAAAATATTCCTTTATATAATTTGTAAAACATCTATGCTCAATTTACATAAGGCCTTTGTAAAGTTGGAATAAATTAGGCTCGTAACGGAAGCATATTACGCAGGTATGACAGAAATACATGTATCACGAACTTGGCATTATACAAGTTTGATAAAACATGAAAACGGCGATGGAATAATAGATATTTCTAATAGATAATCCTAAAGAATAGATCGTATTCTTTAGGAACTCGATCAGAGCATCCTATACCAAAATATTCCATACAACTAAGGACAAACATATAGTTATAAAATGATAGACAATAGAAAAAGAAATGTCATTTTTATATCACAAATATAAAAGTTTGAAATAGTATATAACATAGCGTACGCTCTAATATCTTCTAATTTCGAAGATGTCAAGTCATCTAATTTCAAAGATCTCGCTTTTAATTCCAAGAATTTTAAATCACCTTAAATTACAAAAATTATAAATCACTTATAATCTCAATAATTCCAAATTATCTCTCCATTTTATTTTAAAAAATGAGACATTCGTTTGTTGAGTAGAATCTCTACCGTTCTAAAGCTATGACTTTGTCTCATTGCATGAAATACCTTGTATATGTAATGAAACGTACGTATTTGCACTTAAATACGCGAAACATGACACCATGAATTAGAAACTATATAAACTGGTCCAGCGTGATATAGCGGCCTTCGTTCTAATCGGATCATTTTGAGACGCCTTTTTACCTTCGTACATTTTCTTAGAACTGCGTAAATAGGATAATCTTGTTTCATCGTATCTTCGTGTCAAATCGACACCGTTTTTAAGCAATTTTCCACGGGTTTTCCTTTCAGCTGGAATAACGTCTAACAACGTTTTCCTGTCTAGCTAACAATCCAACTATTCTCGAGATCATCTTTCTTCCTGTTTTTTCTAATACCGGTATTTTATCTCATATACTAAGATGTTATCTTAATCATTTATATTAAGACTTAACCAGTATCATGAGTCATATATGGCAAACATAAGAATTTCAGTTGAATTACTCAATTTTAGCGTACTTTATATTCTTTTATACTTTTAAGCTTTTAGACTTTATATTCATTTCGTTTTAGTCTATTTTAGTATGATCTAATAATGTTAAATTATATTAACTTAAAGTAATATAATCACAATACTATGATCTTACGATACTATTAAAGATTTTACCCTTTATATTCCATTGGTGCCATTTTAGCGATATTCGTAATGTGCAAATTGATTTTCTTCGTTATTTGGCTTTAGAAGAAAAGTATTAACAAAGAAGTATAAATAAAAATTTCAAAGGGCTCCGCTACAGAAGAATGTTTGGAGTACACAAGATTATGCATAGAAGCGAAGAAAACTGTGTATATTGATTAAATAACGACGTGTACCTGAATTTTCGTTGATTTGCAGGCAAGGTGAATTCGTTGCTTGGTGTCTGCGAATCTCTGATGCCTCTCATCTATGGGCCTATGTACAGTTCCATTTACGCTGCAACCATGAAAACGTTTCCAGGGACGTTTTTCATTGTCGGCGCCTGCATGACCATGCCAGCCGTCGTCGCGTTCTTGTAAGTTCTACCGGTTGCAAGTCCTCCATATCATAAATATTCAGAATGTGAGTCGTGAGCTAATTTTGAATAGGTCGCGTTAATATTATATATTAAAACATGAGAGTAACTTGCATGTTCATTAGGAGAGCTTCACTCATGAAAAATCATCAGATGAACAATTCAAAGTCGATTCAGTTAAATACCACATTAGTATTCCGTCTAGTTTCTTTCAGCTCGTAGATCATCTCTCGACGGCAATTATATCTCGTGTAATCTTCGAGTGTGTCGTGAAAAATTACCATTTTCGAAAGTGCTGCATTCGAGACATCCTCATGGTCACTAAATAAATAATTTTATAGAAGTATCAGTTAGTAAAGGAAGAGAAAAATAATAAAATATAATAAAAGAGGAGGAAATATTACGAACATTTTTTCTAGATTTGCTCACTAATATAATGTACAATTACTAATTACTTTAATTATACGTTTTAAAAATAGATTGATTAATTGTCGTCTTTGATAAGACAGGAAGTTAGAGAGCTAACATGAATTTTTTTATGGACAGCTGGTTATACACGGAGCACAGGAAAGATCGTCAATTGCTGGAGCAAGAGAAAAAAGCGAAGAGCAAGGAAGGACCAGAAGAGAACGACTCGAAAACTATGAAATGGCAAGTCGTTGGCGAGAAAAAGCCAGAAGTTCCTACGATGAACGGTGTCGCAAATACAGCTTTCGAATCTGACCATTTATAACACAGAACTTACTATGGAAAATATCCCATTGAATATACATAATATGTATATTTCGTACATCGTTAAGAAAACAAATTTTTCAGTTATACTGAAACAACTTCTACATATAACTAACTTACACCGAAAGAAATTTTTCATTTAACGTACAAAATGCTATTAAGGTATGAGAAAAGATCCGGAATATGACCATATTATCGCGTTTACGCGGTAAATCTGAAATAAAGACAAGACGGAAAAGATGAGAAAGAGAAACCAAAATCTTAATAACAAACGAAGTTATCCACTTACTCGACATGGAAAGCGCGTTTTAAATAAAGGATAACTTTATTTATTCAATCAGAAATATAAAATGCAAATAGGGAATGTAAATGTTGGTATTCATGATCTTTTCAATCGATCTTGCCGATCGATAATTCAAAACTGTTATCCTTTATTTCAAACCCTAGTACAAACAGTCTCCGGTACTTAATAAATAAATGGTTAACAATAGACAATGTAGAACAGACATGTGTCTGTTCATGTGTATCAGTATTACAAATGCTACTTGTGTGTACTATTTCCAAACTACCAATATTGAATGAAAATACGAATACGATAGAGAAATTTAAAAAAGACAAGAGATTATACTTACAAAATGTAATGTAACTCTTGGACAAACCGAGACATGAGTTTCATCTTGTGTTCGATATTCTTAAATCGATGTAAGTCTCATACTCGCGAAGAGAAACCAACAAGATATCATATATGTGTATCGTTTCTTTTATTTTTCTGTAGATCATGCATTTTACGAGAAAGTACGTCACGTGAACAAAATCGATCTGTTGTACGTTTTTATCAAAATAGTATTTATGTTAAGGTACTGCATCATTCACGTACATACGTGTATTATAGTTTATTATGTGATATAGTACGATAGTTTTATATTTAGAAAATAAAAATGGAGTTTACAGAAAAAACCACATGCTGTTTTGATTATTACTGCTAATGATGACGAATAAAGAAGTCGAGCGTAAACTTCAAATTAAAAAGGACACTTGATTAATTTATATGATAAAATTCAATTAAAAATAATGTCATATTAAAACTTAGTTCCAATTTTAACCATTGCAAATGTTCTACCATTGACAAAGAACAGGATAGATGTGACATTAAATGAAGCTTCGTATCTAACGTTCTGAAATACCGACCTCGAAAAAAGTCAGAGTGTTTCTCACGCCCTCTACAATTTATAACATCGTGTCGCATCGTGACGATTATAATTAGTCCGTTTATTCAAACAAAACTTTAATCAGTGGTCGATTAAAGAAACTTCTTTAACTTTATTCTTAATGGGAACACCTTAAAACTCATAAATAAATAAACTTCTGGTCATTAGATTCATTTATCTGAACTATTATATGAACGAGAAATCGTAAGTAGCAAGGATATAAGTATTTGTCATATGACAAATTTAAATAAACTGAATTCTTCTGTATATTAAATACAAATTACAGACGTTGTTAAATAAAATAATGTAAGTAATCAAATTAATAATTGAACGAAAACAATACCTTAACATAGCTTTTTAATAGAAAGTAAAACAGAATGGTGTGCGTGAAAATATTAAATTTATATATTTAATAATTAATTGCTGGAAAACGGTATATACCTAGAATTAAGTTAAAAAAATTGATAAATTGTTATAAAATACTACGATGGGTTAGAAAAATAAAAAATCTTGTAGAAGAATTTGGAAACTATAATTATTACAAACTGAAGTATTATATAAATTCTTTTCCCTTTGGAACACGTGAAACGGAAACGAAAAATTTCTTCTCTCTTGGGCCTCTCGCTTACATGGAACAAATTGTTCTCGCGGTTTATCGGTTCGCGATTGCTCAATTCCTTTGAATAATTGCGTATCCCGGACGCGCGTGAGCCAACGTGTATTTGATAATTCTTTGTATTCGTAAGTCGTTTCAAGGACACCTTTGTCTTGGTACTACTGATCGAGGACTACTCGTTGCTCATGTCCAGTCGCGGAAATTATTATCGCGCCGATGGCGCTTGCAGAGTCTAAAGGATTGCGGCCCTGCCCGATTAGTACTTCGGATCGGGTTGGAACCTATAATTTGATGTTCTTCGTAACATTAGTCAGTAATTCCCCCCATAGGAAGTAGACCTCACTAGTTCAATTAGGACAAGTTCTTCGTAATCCTGTTCAGTGGGGATCCACTATTCCTGTGTCTTATGTCTGTGCTTATATCTCGTCTTATTACCAGAGATATAAAGATAGAGCACATGAGTCATATGTTAATGTGTAAGTGGATGCGATAGGAGAATAGAAAAAGAACGCTACATAGAGGTGTCTTCTGTCTTGTCTAATCAGACATGCACACTGACGCTAGTTCGTTGATCGATGTTATACTTACACATTTGCTATATCGCTTTTTCAGCTCGCTAACGCACTCTGTCTTTACATCTCTATAGTCACTACTATACTTAATCGGTAATGTCGTATGTGACACGAAAATGATAAAGACGTTATATGAGCAAAACATAAGACGTGAAAAAGCGTTATCTATCAAGTCTAGCTTGGTTTATATGTACCTCGTCTGTGCCACTTCTACTCTAACTTGAGAAATCACGAAATCATTGAATGACATACTCTATATAACTATATTCTCGATGACTGTGTATACGTCACACGTTACACGCTACACTACCTACAGTACAGTACGCTGAGTATGCTGTCGAGGCGACTAGCATGATGTAAAGGAATTTGGATCGTGCGAACTTTGAACAAATAGTCATATTGATCATAGTCATACAGTATACATGTGATGAGTTGTATATTACTTGCAGTAAGATAAAAGTGAGATAATCAATCAACTACTGTGCATATTCGCGGTAGTTTTTATTCGATTTTAATCATTCTACGTTTTTTACGACAATCTTTGATCGTACTTCTGGTTTTTCGAAAAATAGAAAACATTCCAACGAGAGGGACGCGAGTAACTTCTCCACGTGTGTGTGCGTACGTTTACTCTTTTGCTCTGCGTGTCGAACGCATTCTGACGTGCAGTTGATCCTTGTTCGTCACACAAATCGAAGCCACTTATCGGAAACAAAATCGAAAACGTGAACGTCGAGCGAAACGACGCTCGGCTAGCTAAGGTGAGCAAGATCAGGAAACTTAAACTAGATCTAGTCTTTTGACCATGGTCCAAGTCACAATTGATTATTCTTTGTACCTTGAATTAAATAAATTTTATCGTTTATTTTGAACACTTTATTCAAGAATACCATAAATGAGACAAAGATTTTTAATTTTTATTTCAATTCTAAACTTCATAATAATTTATTATTTCTGAATTCATATATTTTAGTACCATTCGTATTCTAAAGACTTTAAGGTCGTTCTAGAAACATATATATGTCAAATATAAGTATTTTTTACAATTATTAACGCATCAATGCAAATAATAAATGTAAATAGTGCTTTAAAATACTGTTATAATGTAAATTTTAAAGGTTAAAAATATAAAAGCTTAAAAATTTGTAATTGAGCCAAAAATAACAATGCGTCAAATATCGTGCGTTGCATCACTTAGTATGTATTAATTGAACTAAATGCAAGAAATTTTCCGTTATTCAAAGTCACTCATAATTGATGCACATGAACCTATCTTAATCATAAAAAAACAACTTCAGTAGTCGTTAACATATCAATTACAATTTTCATTGAACTTGTTTGATTTCGAGGATGGATCGATCAAGTTTCATAGACGAAAGCGGAACGAAAATTCGTTGCTCTGTACTTCTCTAGTCAATGTTATTGAATCGGTGATTGCGATATCGAAGAAAACGAAGTAATACATCTTTATCTTTTCAAGATAAAATCTATAATATACTTCGAGATTACTAAACGACTTTAAAAACAGTTTCTTAAAAATAATTTGAATTTCGCACTATTTATATTTGGATTCCATTTACTATGGGAGTCTGGTTGTTTATCGGAATATTATTATTGAAATCACGTAACATTAGTGTTAATACGTACAATAAGTTATGAAAGTATGTATGCACCTTTTGAATTCTGTGTCTTTGATTTATAAAAAGAAAATTAAAGACGTATTTAATTGTCGGAAAATCGTTGCAGTTATATGTTAACACAGTATTATTTTGGTCTTATTCCTAAGGTGGAGACACGAATATGCAAATCACCTTTGGAACGATGCTGGATATAATTTGTTGTACACATCGAATGTTACAAAACTTTAAGCTATTTTGAAATGATTTATTTTTAGATATTTGTGCTTAAAATTCTAAGCGTCTAGTAACTTACAATTAGTTACGTGAAAAATTTGACCAAAAAGCAATTATGAATATAACCATAGAATATTCGGTTATAGAGTAGAAGATTATATAAAATTTCTATGAAAAATTACAAGCTAATCTATTTTGATACTAAGGTACTAATAATAATTAATAAAAAATTAGATACTAATAAGAATTACTAGAGTAATTTCTTTATTACGATATTTCCAGTTTAAGTAGTATGTAGACTTTATGTAGTCTTTGGTAATCAATTGTAAATGTCCTAAATTCGTAATTAAATGCTATGTCGATTTCTGAGGATCAATATTAAACTTTTTTCTTTTGTTTATATATAGACACAATTTCTGTATTTACTCGTCGCCTAAATCTGAGTGGTAACAAAATTAGCTCTGCCTTTAATGCGTTTAGCATTTAGTCAATACTGGCTGAAGGTTTATTGCTGTTATACACAACTATTTTTGCGCACACATGGCAACTTGCAAATCCCTCTTAATTTTGATGCGCGGATACTTGTTTACGAGTCTGAAATATTTCATTAAAAAGCGTTTACGTTACATATCTATAATAAAAATGCGTCATTATTTCGTTAACATTAATCTGGCTGTACTTTTGAAAGTACCGGTCGTCGATGAAGATGAAATTTGATGGATATCATGGTATGAGATAGTAGATCTGAGATATAAGATCGTAGTGTCAAGAAATCGTGTGTGAAAAAAGTATAGGTCCTTATATAATAGATCTTTACTACTATTAAATGCCATGTTCGGCAATTAGTATAATAATGTGAAGATAAATGATGTATATAGCTGGAGGATAAATATATGTATGTATATATTAAGATCAAAAATGTTCAATGAGTAAAAGAAATAATCACTTCCTCCTAAACAGGGGTATTGGTGGTGGTTTGGGCTAGGTAAATCTTGCCAGAAACACTGTCGCCAACTTAATAACAGCAAGGATTTATTATATATATCTTTAGGTACCTGTATCTTCGAAACGCATAATTTCCCAATGCCAAGATTTTATATTTCAGTCCTATTATCTCATCTAGCAATACCCACAAAATTTTGTCCCAGTTCGCCACCAGTGCCATTCGGAATAATATCCATTGATTTCTTTAAAATTGATTTCCTTGAAATCTTTTCTTTTCGTGTAGCAAAAGTTTATCGTATTTATAGAGACTCCCGATTTTTAAGGATAGTCATGTATTCCAAGCTTTTACATGACTCGAGTCCATTTACCATTATATGAAAAAATATACACTTTAAAGGAATTCATAATGATGAAACCCAGTACCGGTTGAACCAATTTAAACAAAACAAATTGACGTCTTTTCCTTTCATTATTTTCTATGATAGTTTTCATTCAAATAACTTATATGTATGTATCTATTTACATATATTGTCATATGCATTTAAATAGTTAACATATAATACATACCACATAACATTTTAATTAATTAAAAAGAGATCTTCATTGGACTTTGTTATAATGGTTCTAATCATAAACAAAGGATGATTAATAGGGAAATTTCATTTATAGTCTGATGACCCTGATGTACATGGGTTCAAAATGTATTATTTATCATCGTGACGCGTTCCATTGTCTTTCAGATGAACGTTTTTTTATACATAGCTTAATTACACAACATATTTACGCAATTACGTATTTAATAAAAAGCAACATTAGATGAATTTTTCTAATCATTAGATATGACAAGAAATTTTTTCGTTACTAGTTCTATTATAATATGTTACTACTATACATGTTACTACTATATCTGTAAGATAAATGAAAATAATAAGATTCAAATAACAAAAAATAAAGACAGTAAAAAACAAGCCACCAAGCTATATAGCAGTGAGTAATGAAGTTCATTTATCTGTTAATTAATAGAAAGTGCATCAATTCTCACTGCGTTCTTTCGATTTTCCCGTCCACGACGTGTAAATATTACTCACGTATTAAAATATACATATAGACCAATGGTCGTTCAGTTCAAGGTGTCAATAAGTTCCCATAGCGACCTTTATGAACAGAATTATTTGCTTGAGCAGGGTATCAAATTGAAAGCAATTAAATATGCGAATATGGTGTGACTACGTACAGTTGGTCGATTCATGATTATTATGCCGACTTCTATGAATAATAAAATCGCGTTTGATCTTCCAAGAAAACGTAGCAATAGCTCATGTATATATATAGTATCGAAGGAATATACAGGGTGGTTGGTAACTGGTGGTACAAGCGGAAAGGGGGTGATTCTATGCGAAAAAAGAAGTCGAAAATATAGAATACAAATTTCTTTTAATTTCTTTTTTTAATTTTTTTTTTTTAATTTTTCCATCGAGACAACGATCTACAGTGAGATCCGTTATAACGAGACGTGATAAAGTGCACGCGTACCGAGCGAAAATTCAAAGTCGATTTTCTCGAAAACAAAGCCTCAAACGAAAAATTTTTATTCTATATTTTCGACTTCTTTTTTCGTGTAGAATCACCCTCTTTCCGCTTGTACCACCAGTTACCAACCACCCTATATATATATATAGTTAGAATACATTAAATCTGTATTAAAGTTTCTATATTTCAAAAACCAAAATAATAATTTTAAACGTATAAGAGAAAATAGGAAATTCGAGATCTTATACAGGATCATACAACGTCAAAATACAACTGCTTCTTCTTTTGTCTAATTTAGAAAATTGTATAGAGCATAAAATACACCATACTTCCATAAAATACATATGGATGCATCAATCGATGTAGTCAGAAATTAATGTGTTAATTCGCGATCTCTTTTTTGAACTATAAATAAAAATCAAGTATACTACCCATAATAAATTGTGGAATACCTCATTCGTTGAACTCGTGAACATAAAAAAAATAGAAGGGAAAGTACTTTAGACTTTAATTGACTCATGATTACGAAAGCTACATATATAATTTTCACAGAAAAGGATGACGATAATGAAATGAGTCGCTTAAGAACAAGTAATTGCTTTGACAAAATATATTTAAATACGTTTCAATGTACAGTTTTTATCATAAAAACCAATGTTTTATAACAAAAACATATCTCAACGGGCGCAGATTTATTAACAGATATCATACGCGTATGTCTAACATTTAAAAATTTCCCGCGTTGAGTAAGACATATTTTAATTATTTACTTCTATCCATTTTTTTTTATAATAAAATAATCAAGTATCTTATTAGAATTAGAAATTGAATGGACTGACAATTCTCTATTTATATTTTTTA